ACACAAAAAAAAAAAAAAAAAAAAAAAAAAAAAAAAAAAAACAAACAAATAAATGATTAAATAAAAACAGCAGCGGTCGAGGCAGCGCTAATCATTATCACGTATTTGTGTTAATAACGTGTACACGGTATTTACAAATTATAACAAAATTGCATCTGATTGTTGACGATTTTCGTTTTTCTTTCTTCTTTTGTTTTTTTTTTTTTTTTTGTTATTTTAATTCGATAAAAATTAGTTTTGATTTTATTTGAATTTATTCTCAAGGCTCTTTCTTTTCGTTCATCAATCTAGTTTTTTGAATCTCATTGGTTCACCTGCTAAGTTCCAAAAAATTTATCTTTCTACTAAAATCTTATTTTAGAGAAGAAAGTTGTTTTTCTACTACCACTACTTTCATTTACTTCAAGTTAATAACTTTAGCGATCTGAACACAAAGACCGCCATGTGGCACAACAGAGTTTTCACGCAACTAAAAGCCACTAACATTCGGCATTTTCCCATCATTTCTGCGAGATATCTAACTCAGGGAGATTCCATTAAATATAGAAAATTTTATCAGCAAGGAATTCTTGCCTAGTTTATTTAGCCTTGCCCCTCCGTCAGCCCGTGCATATGTGCGTATATAAACAATTTGAGCTGCAAGGGATGCTTAGTCAATTTACCATTACATACGTAAAGGTAATAATTGCGCTAGGATATTGGTCTTGATATTATTTTGAGAGAATCAAACCAGACGAGAATTTAAAATTTGACTGCGTATTCCTTCTAAGCTACAACTTCGCTCCTCCGTTCACTTCTCTTTATAAGCTATTAACATGTACTCCGATCGTGTCAAACGAAATCTTTTCTTTCGAATCTAGTCACTTAATCAGTTTTTTCAAATGTAAACGAATAGAAGAAATACTCGGTACTTGGAATAACTTTCTGAATCGTTTTAAGCTTTCCTGTTGGGTTCACATTCTTGTTGTCTTGTGTCCGTGGCTACCATCACAGTATTCTACTAGTTTCATATAACAGCCTTTCAATTACCTTATTAGCTATAGAATGGCTTAGGTTAAAATTACATGATTCTACAGATTTGTCGAAGTGTATGCTGTCTGTCCGTTATGTGCCGTAGCTATAGGTGTGGACATCGCGTTGTATTTACCTAAAAATACGTATACGTTTACATGAAACCATATCGGAGGGTGCTTACGCTTACATAGAGAGAGAGCGAGTGGATTTGTAGGCTTGTCGTTTATTCTTCATGGAGCCCATTTTGCTTGATTTCAAGAAATATAAGAAAAAACACAACAAATTCACATTTGATATAGGGATGTCAAACAATTCCGTTTCAATTCAATAGAATTTCTTAGGTGCTTTTATTGCTTTTATATCAAACAATTACATTTTTTTTTACTTTCTATTTACGAGGCATATCGTCAGCTCATCTTCTAGATTTAATCACATCAGCTATATGAGTATATTAGTATAGTGTGTTAGCTAGTATAGTGAATTGTCTGATGTGGTGGGCGGGAGTTGTTTAAATAGTTTACGTTTTGTGATATGCTTTCGGTTTAGTTATATATATATATATATATGTATTTGTATATATATATTGATTTCAAATTTTTCAAATTGCAACTGTTTGCATGCGTTTGTTTTCATTTAATTATCGTTTATCTCGTGGAAAAGGGACAACATGATTCTCCCGAACTTTGAACGTAATTTTGAAACTGCTAGTGTTTTCGATGTCGCTTATTATCTTTACGCTTGAATGACTTCCTAAGCTTGTGTCGAACATGTGTTGGGAACAATTAAAAAAAACAATTTTTTTTGTGTCGAAATTTCGTTTTGAATTATTTTTCCTTTTTTACTTTTTCAATTTTCCAATTTTATTTTTCTTTTGTATAAAGCTTTTACAGATCTGCTTCAATGTCTCTATACTCTTATATACTCTTATTTTAGCGGCAGTTATATCATCGGCATATTCCCGACATCCCATAAGCGAGCAGTCATGATAAAAAACTTTTCATTACCCGTTCAGCTTTCGGGCAGTCTGCTTTCAACTACCTTGAATCCTTCCATAATCATATGATAGTCCTTTAGTTAAAAATCCCTTAATTTT